TATTGAGTAATAATCAATACTTTCGTATGTTTCTATTGTTTTATCATCTAATTAAATAATGCAGAAGGAATAAACCAAAAAAAGAATAGTTTAACTTAAAAAACTAGAAATTTAAAAAAAAACATGTTTTTCAGCTCTTTTCAAAATGTGTCGGGTAGCCCCACCCAGTTACAAAAATTATGTTTCTTGACTGTTTTTTCAGGTGTAAATGAAAATGACCAATGTATTGACAATAGATAAACCTCGTTTATCATTTTTATCACAAAATTATTTTATTTATTACATATTTATATACTTTTAGTAAATTCTATCGTTTAATAACAATCATTTAATAACAACAATATTTTTTGTTAAAAATGCATATAACATTCAAATTTGAAGCAATAAAATAATAATCTTTGCAAGCGTAAATTTATCGACGAAATAAAATTGGGTGGTGATACCCGACATTCATGTGAGCGGGGCTACCCGAAATCCAATTTTTTTGTTAATTTGTAATTACTTGAACAATTTTTCACATATAAACTTCTTTCTTTTGGCAAATTAAGCTTAAGACTACATACTTTAATGCTGTATGTATAGAAAAAATTATTTTTTTAGTATTAAAATGAAGTTTAATCGAAACATTCAACCAATTTTTCTTAATTTCATGACTACTGTATTCAACATATTTTCAAAACTATTGTTTACCATGTTACCAGCTGCATAAATACTTGAAACTTTGAAAATAATCTTTTTTTAATATAACAATTAATGTCCGATGGCCCATTGACTTGAAAAAATATTCTATACATATGAAATTGACAGCGGGTGGGGGTACCCGACACTCCCCTATGTATAACAGTGCTCCATTGTAAATTATAAAAAAAAAAACTTTAAACATTTAAAAAATATGCTTACCATTTGTACTAACTCCAGTTTGTAATTATTATCAGCTGCTTTTACTGTATTGATAACAATGACTAGTATCGCAAAAAATGTATTACGAATAAACATAACGTTGGTGCTCATTTTTCTCTATAGTTATTGAAATTAGAACAGAAGAATATAAGCGAGTTATTTATATGCTTCCTCGTTATGGCCATATAGAAACAGCTAGATATTACTAAGTAATAAAAACGAATCCATTGCACGACTTAAGCTTTCGATCACATTTTTTAATTCTACATGCAGGTTGCTTCCTCTTTGCGAAAACAATTTTTTCTCAGATTGCAAATATTATTCTAAAAGATTTCTCAATAGCTTTAATCTGTTTTTCTGCTTACAAATTTTTTGAATATCTTAAAATCAATCTTTAACTTAGTTTTAGTTTTCAAGATTTATTATAAGATTTCCAATTATATTACGTGACACTGATTTTACGAATATAAAAACATCTGCCTTGTTACGTTTGAGGTTTATCATAATGATTATTCCATTTTCAGAAAACTGGTGGCTTTTATTACCTACATCAGTTTTTGTTCTACTTCCTGGGATAAATTTAAATAATGAAATAAGGTTTTGCTTAAATTAACACTAGATTGCCTAAGTAAGTCATTTTGACTGCTTTTAATTTCAATTAGAAAAACAATGATGTATACAATGACACAATTTCTTAGAATTTTGTGACTTTTTGAACAACATATAATTTTTTTATTGTTAATATTTACTAATAGCTTGTTACAGAACTGTAAATAATATAAAAAATGTCAAAAATTAATTTTAAACAAATTTATTGACGCATTCACAATCTAGTCATTTTGACTGCTTTTCGGCAATATAGGTATATACTAATTTTCCGTCTTTCTAGTGTTAAAATAACTCAAAATGAAACTTTGTGTGAACTATGGTTATTTCTGACCATGCTTATAATTTAAATGTAAAGTGAGCAAAAGAAAAGGACCACCCTAAATAACTTTTGATGTAATGATCGAATCTTCACGTTCTACGATTCAATCTCATTGGTTCGAATTCTCAATATGCTAATTGGATAATGCAGATGATATTTAAAATTACGAAATCCGACACAGAAATCTGAAAAATTATTATTTATGCTGTAATAGTCGAAAAAAATTTTTAATCGTAATATATACAATTTTTCACATCAATTTAAAGACGATAATTTTATATGGAAAAATATGAAATTTGAGCGAAATTGGTTTTAATAATTCCCGAATTATCAGATTTGATAGAAGTCGCATATTCAAAACTCGATTTCTCAGGAACTTTTAGAACAATTGCGCCGAAATTGTTAAGTAAAATTACATTTTTTACAATGATGTAAAAAATTGTATATCTTACTATTCAAAGCTTTTTTGACTATAATAAAAAAAATAATAAATTCAGATTAAAAATTAATTTTTGCATTGAATAATCTTTTAAAAAACGAATTTTAAAATTTTGCCCAAAAAAATTATAATTCGTTTAAAAAGTTCACAAGATATGGTGGAAAACGCAAAAAGTAAAATTAACACTATGGTGTCCAAAATTTTCATTGCTCTCCGGACCAAAGTATCGGGACCCATATTTTCCAGATTGCGGCTACCCCTTGCTTTTTCGGGATCTAGAATCCGTCGAAATAAAAATAAGTTATTCAGAGAAAGCGCATTTTTGTGTCTGATTTCATAACTTAAAATGTAGTCTGCACTAATTAAGCAGCATATTTGAAGTTACCCTCTTGAACTTTTAAGATTGAGTTCCGGAACTTGAGAATCCGATCACTAAATCAATAGCTATAACGTATGGTTCATTTTTCATTTCGCGCGAAATTTCGAAAATTGAAGAGATTAGTGGGAAAAAGAGTTTAAAGACATTTTTCTTTATTTTAAACTGGGTAACTTTCACATCATTAATTCTGAATAATTTCATCTAATAAAGGTAATCAATAATAACTGGAGGCTGCTACGGGACCGACACCACTAATTAATTCAAAAAAGTTGTCCGCCTTTTCACGATTATGTTAGTTATCCCTATCTTATTTTAAAACTTGTGTAAATTCAGAATTATTTCTGCTGTCAAACAAAGAACACCTCAAATCAGACATAATAAATAATTAATAATACATTTATTTGGCTTTAAGATACTGTACTTTGCTTTATTTTTTGAGCAGCCGACCGAATTCTGAGTTTACGACGATGTTCAACTCCCAGGTGCCGCATTGTAATTTATTGGACTAAATGAACCAGGTGGATATGGTACACTAGTTAAACGAGGCCTGAAGATTTGAAACACTTCAAAGTCATTCGTTTTAAGAATATTCAGTTGTATACAGGAATTTTACATCAACTTCTGATAAATTTAATCGAATTTTTAAGTTGGAAATCTCAATTAAATTTGCTAATATAATTAATTTGTAGACACGATGATTTAAGTTACAATATCAGGTCTGATTTTCCTTGCATGCATATGCAAAAAACAAAAAACGGAATATCCTGAATAGCTTTTAATATAATGATACAGTTTTCACGTACCAAGACTTAATAATCCGTGTGTCTGACTTCAAACCTGCTAATTAATAAGTGTAAAAACAAAATCAGAAAAAAACGTGATTCCTCTGGATAAATACGATGGATTCCAATTATTGAGCCTCAAAATATGGAGGGGTAGCAGCAGTCTTTGAATTATGGTCAAAAAATTTTATTAATATTTTACTATTCAAAATTAAAGACTTAAAATAAAAGTAAAACAAAAGTGTTTATATATGCTTGGATACGAAACCCTGATACTCTTGTCACGATTTTTGACGATTCACGCATAACTCATTAAATATTGGTCCTATCGCTTTGAAACTCGAAGTTTCCAAAACTATCATTTAGTCGCCACAATGAATGCCAAGTATCTCCAAGTTACCAAGATTACCTCTCAGTCCGCAAAAATGTCGCCAAACCGAGTTTTCCATACGAAATACATTAAATGTTATTTTTTCTCTAAATTATGTTAGAATTACGCAACTTTCTTGCAATTTTTTTTAACTTAACTGTTTATTTGGGGTGGTCTGAGATATTTTAGCCTCATAAGAAAAGAATAGTCACAAAATTATACGCATATTTAGAAATTCGCAAACAATATAAAATAACTATTTAAAGTTCTAAAGGCATACGAGGTAACTTTTTGCACTATTGCTATCTCTACGGCGAAAAATATTTAACGAGATTTTTCAGTATCCTACCATAAATAAGAGTTTAAAATACATAATTGTGGATGCAATGAAGACTAAATAAAATTATAAGGTCTTATATTTAATCCAGATAGTATTTGATACTTAATCTGTGGAACCAAATCTCTGTAAATGCATTAAATGATTTAATCATTAATTGAATGATTTTCAATTTTAACATAATTTGCTTATCTCTAAATTATTGGGAAGCAATAGCGGGGGATGGTGATTCGCACATAAGAAGAAACTTAAATGATTCGTTGAAGACATAAATGATTGAAGAAACTTAAATGACATTGATAGGAAACATAAATGATTGCTAAGCAATTGCTTCGGAGTCATTTATGTTTTATAGTGATAAGCAGGTTGTTAGCAATCAGAGAGTGCAACTTACTTAAAAATTAATCTTTAATGTATCATCGGATCGGTTTGGTGTTTCTTCGTTTTTTTTTTTTTTTCTCTTTTTTGTTTTATAAAAAAACTTTAAGTAGCTTAATTGATTGAAGAGATTAAATGCGATTAACTTTTATTTTATGTACAAATACAATTCCGATTTTAATTACCACAGTTTAGATAAATTTTCCATGCTCTTCTTTATGTTTTTTTTTCCATGCTTTCATTTTTTTTGCAGTTTTGAAAAAACGTGTTAAAAAACGTGTATCGCAGATTAAATGACTCGTGTGATTTTATTTTTGCTTTTTTATGCTTTACTCTAATTTAAGTGGATTTTTCTACTGCAATTTGCTTCCTTTGTAATAACTAAATTAAAAAAATCAAGTGCATACAAGTAATTAATTAAATAAAGGAAACTCTATACAATTGGTTAAAGCCAATAACGTGCGTTGAGAAAAAAGAAAATAGCTGATTTTATCAATACTAAGAAAGAATAATTTTTATTGCAGTAATTATATAAATGCTATATAGTAGCTTGCAAGGTTTAAGGACTTGGATCCAATAAAAGCAGATGCACACTTACTTTTCATAGTAGAAGCATTAAAAATGTCTTCAAATTTTAAGCAGAGAGCTGAAAAATTAGATGTATTATTAATGTTCCTAGTCCAGTAATTATAGTAAAAAAAATTTGTTTCTTTGCAAAACTTAATACCTAAAGGAATTTTTTGGCTAAACTTTTCGTTGTGGTAACTCATTGTTGTTGCGTTGTGAGTTAGGGAGCATTTGGATATCATTTATAAAAATGATGCCTAAAAGCTCCCTTTCTTTCTAATGCTCTTTTATCCCTTTTTAAAGGGTAAAATTAAACTTTTCTTGTCGAACTAAGCGTTGTTTCTGAAGTATTCTTTCTCGCTGAATAGAGTGATACCAATCCCAAGACGATCGGACTAATAGTTTAAAACTTATATGGGTTTTATGCTCAAAAATTCATGATTTGTTCTTGTTCCGATTTCTTCTTGTACGCATTTGATGTTGTTTCTAAAGAAGTGAGATATTATTTTTCACGTAATATTTCATGTTGAATCGAATGCATGATTCGATGGAACAAACAATTAAAAAATTTCAAGATTTTTGATGTATAAAAAGTACTATTTTTGACTTGACTTATGCACCCTTTTTAATTTAGCCTAGTGGCTATCTGAACACGTAAAACATTTTCTGATTAAATATTAGGCTTAATAGTTTCTAAGTTATATGGATTTTCTTCATAATGGATGCCTTTCGAAAATAGTACTTTTTATACAATAAACTCATTTTCACCTTTAAAATATTATCTCTTTCGTATCTTGTCTGGTTTCATTCGTTATAAAGTACCTAGGAAGTAACACCTTACTTGTCTACATAGCAGTGTTAAAATCTGTGAATAAATGCAAGTACAAAACTGTGATTATAGGACATAAAATCCTTATTGCTTCTATTCGTCCGATCTTCTCAGAATTAGTTTCATTTAATTCAATGCGAATTGTAAATAATTATTGTATTATAATTATTATATTGTAAAATATACTTTACATATCCTTGGATATCAATGTAAAACATGTACGGAAATCCTATCGAAAATAGTACTTTTTGTACCCAAAAGCACTTGCAAATTTTGAAATAATTGTTCCATGGACTCGTGTATAACCTTTTTCGATACAACGTAAAAAATACGCAGGATACAATTTCACACTTGTTAAAATAACAATATCAGATAAGTAAGTAGGTTTGTGCTAGTTTGAAATTTCAAACAAATCTAAATTAAAGTCATTATTATATGTCGGATAATTTCTTAATTTTCAGTATCGTTTAAATTAAGAAAATAATCAAGGGAATTTTTAAAAAAAAGCTTTGGCATTTTCCTCGAATCTCAAATACATTGAATCCTTCTTTATCAGTTCATGGCTTCTTACAAGTGATGGATCTCTAAATTTTCGTTAATTCATTCGTAATATATGAAAATTATCAGTAAGAGCTTTGATATTGGATTGGACTTAAAAGTTTACCCAGTATCCTAAAGTTCCAGTACCTCGTTGGGGTGTGGAAGTTTGGAGTGAGACGCGTATCTGTGTTATTAATCCTTGCAATGCGTTTTTGGGTGGTATACATTATTTACTATTACTGAACATGTTATAAACGTTTTCAAAAAAAATGTAGAGAGATTCCTCAGTTTATTGCTCGAAAATATAATGGCAAGTGAACAAAGACTTGCAATTGAAGGAATGAACTTTGAACTACATCTAATTGTTTTGGAAAAGTCCTGGAAAAACTTTTATTTAAAAATAATAAATAAAATTAAAGCTCTTAATCCCACTGATGCGCTTTCAAATAGAGAATAAATTTATTTTGTTTAATAACAAATTCGCAGCTATTAAATAAAATAGATAGTTTGTGTTGTGGAATTTTGGGGAGAGAAAGGTAACAGAGCTCAAGCGCTATCCAAGTCATCTGACCAAGGTCAAGATTACCTTGGATCTTGTGATGACCATTATTGCGCATGTTTATTTGTATCTCTGGGGAATAAATTTTATTAATTCCTGATAATTCCTTCCTGGTGTTGAAATTATTACAAACGATGAGCATTTTATAACTGTTAATAAATTTTTTCAACTTTAATCTATAGCAAATATGACATCATTAATTCGTCAGTTTGGCTTCCATTTTTAAGATTGCACCAAGCGTATACCATCAACTCTAATTTTACCAAAACAATTCATCTTCCCATGTTAGATTTAATCGCATACTTGAACTGTTGTGTAACGTAGGTGTAGATCTGGTTTTAATATTGGAAAATAATAAAAATAGTACGTGGAGTCCCTCCGCGCGGAAGAAGTGAAACTTCGTAATGTGGAAATGAAAATAGGAAGGGGTAGAAATTGATTTTTAGTGAAATCATATTGTTTCTTTAAGACCAACTTTATTAACATTCCTTACAATTCACAATTGATCGCATCTTTTAATTATCATTTTCGAGTGGGGAAATATCCAAATCTATAACATTTACAATGGGATTATGATAACTAAAGTAAGATACGAAATGTTTGAGTTCTATTTTTTCAATATTTCTTGCAAAAACTGCATCAATGGTAGTTCCCCCTTTGGTCGTTGGATCATTTCTACCATTTATCATTTCCAATCTAAATTTGTCTTTAAGGAAGGTTAATAATGTTTCAGCTTCAGGTAACGAGAAATTCACATTAAAATCTCCTGCAAGGATCACAGGCAAGCGTTACCATGGTAGCGTTAAACGTTTAACGCAACCTTGCTGGAAGTCGCATTAGAAGTTTCACTTCAATAATATTTCTCAATGTAAAAAATAATAATCTCTGAAATCCAACAGATGGCGCTCTGTGCAGTAATTCAAATGAATTAATTGCATTCAGTTTCCTATATGGCACTGCATCATGAGCATCATTCCTTGCTTTTTTGTTATTAAATATAATTTGTTAAAGGCTTTTGTAATGCTTAAAAAAAACCAACATCATTGTACAGAGCCATAAAGGAAACTGAATACAATTCCCAGATAGCAAAATAAAGTTTATTTTAACTCAGAAAAAAAACTTTTAAACGTAACGTGTAAACCTTCTAATCTTAAAATGAGATCTGTGACAACCTGCTCTGTTCTACGCACATTAACATGATCCAAAACCTTGGAAAACAGCCTACGATATAAAAACCTTAAATCGAGGTTGTCTTAGCGTGAAAAAAATCCCCTGAACAGAACTTAAGGGGAAAATAATCTTAAATCTGGGTAATTATAAGGTTTCTTTTCACAACGTCTTGCATGCTCAGCTAAACTCCACCTTGCCATGAAATTTTGATGGACAATGTAATTTGATCTCATCGGTAGTGTGACGTCAGCTAATACGTCATTATGAACCCAAGTTTCTTACCTAAGAGACAATCCTTTTTTTAAAAAAGGCATTACAAATAACTTTTAATCATATTAGGATGAAAAGTTTGAAACTGCAAAATGTTTATTGAAAAATAGTTTTTAGTAAAAATATTTTAGTCACAATAAGAAGAAAATTCCGACGCAAGGTCGCTGTAAGGTTGCATGCTTTTTGGGATTAATCCTTTTACTTTACTGCGCAGAGTGCCATCTGTTGTATTTTAGAAATTATTACGAGGGTTGTAAATTAAATAGTGGCAACTTAACCTGGAAACTCACAGAAGGGCGGGCATGCGCAAATAGGGTATGGGAGTGGTGAGGTGGCGCTGTTGTCGATGTGTAGAGAGCAAAAAACAGTCGTTCTGCTCAGAAGGGTAGTTGTTGCGTGGCATTAAAGAGAGGAGTTTCGTTTCCATCGCTCTAAAGCATGTTGTCAAAAGGCTTAATGACGATAAAAGACGAAATGCTTGAGCCCCTCATGCAACTGTCCTATACGGTAAAACATTTGCGCCACAGGCTTCCACTAAACCACGATAGCATTCTGTTGCATTTTTGCCACGGGCAACCTCGATTTTAAGCCACGACCGATGATCACCTTTTGAAAACATGCTTTAGAGCGATGGAAACGAAACTCCTCACTTTAACACCACACAGCAACTACCCTTCTAAGCAAATAGACTGTTTTTTGCACTCTACACATCGACAACAGCGCCACCTCACCGCTCCCATACCCTATTTGCGCATGCCAGCCCTTCTGTGAGTTTCAAGGTTAAGTTGCTACTCTTTAATTTACAACCCTCGTATTATTAACTGTAATAATGTTATCAGAAATTTACATTAAAAGAAAGTGGTTTTCTTACTTCAGATGTGATAACATTCTCCTCATATGAATCAATATCGCATTCCTTCTCATAATCGGTGCTTGCATAAACATTTGTGAACTTCAGATATTTTTGATAAGGGCAATATTCTTCGCATCCAGGCAAGATTATAACTCTAGGAGTTTGATTGAACTTGTCGATATTTTGAGTGTTCAAGAAAAGAATTCGAATGAAGTACTTGCCCCTTGCTCCGGAGTAAAGCTCAAAAATAAGAGTTGAACAGTAATTAATAATTTCTATGCGAAGATTGTTTAAAGCAGCCAACACAGCGCCAATGTTGACGTCATGCTGAAACGAATATTTTTTTGTTTGGAATATGTTTTTCTAAAAAGCATCGATAAGAAAAAAGAATGACATATCTAAAAAGAGATTATTAGTAAAAATACGAAAGCTCACATAAACAAAGAAATCAGAAAATAAGTTAATACTGATAGTTGTTATAAATTTTAATACTGATTTTTAATTAACCTTTAATCGAATGCATTCTGAACCTCGGAATTTATACTTTTAGATCAAAAATAAAATAGGTATAATTTTTTTACAAAAAATAACCGGGGTGCTGTTTATAATAAAATATTCTGCAAATTTTAATTCAGTACTTTCATGCCTTCGTCAAAATTTTTCAATAATATTTTGATTATTGATAAGAAATTATAATTATTGAAATAATTTGATATTGATATTGAAAAATATATTTTGATTATTGAAAAGTAACAATTATTTTTAAAAAAATAAATAAAATATAACTTTTTTGAAAAAATTTTGTTTTAATCGAAAAAAGCGAAAATGTCACGATTAAATAAGAAATTCCATGAAAACTATCAGAAAGTAAAATCACGCCAGATTGAAAAAAATAGCCATTTGCTTAAAAAAATTATTTAAATATAGTTCTGTAGAAAAAAAATAATAATTGCAAACTTATGATTCACTTTGGAATTGTTCCTAAAAAGGCTAAAGTCTAGGTCTTGTACTTCATCCTTATAGATATATAGAGAAAATTACGACGAAAATTAGTATATAAATAAATGAAATCATGATGTTATTAAAGAAAACCAGAAAAGAACCTGAATTAGCTCATTAATGGCATTTATTCTTGAAAGGAACATAATACCAGAAGACAGTTTGATAGTTTACTTTTGTTTCTGTGGAATTTCCTTTAAGGTTGCAAAGGGGAAAACTAACTGCTCCGTTATAAACAATCTACTCTTGGTATCTGACGATTTCCAAGAGTACGCCAAAGTTGGCGAATATGTTTCATGAATTGAATAAATACATCGGAGATTGGTGTATGTCTTATCATTGATTTGTGTTAAAATTAACTGTTTTTAATGTATGTGAAAGCTAGATTCTTTATTAACTTGAAATAATGATCTCATTCACATAATTTGTGGAGTTTTTCAGCCTAAAATTCGGATAGATATTACATCAGAGTTTTTACAATGCAGTATGAAAATTTACTTCGACTCTTTACTTCGATTTTAAAGTAAGTTCACGAACAATAGATATAGCAATAAAAATGTAACAAAAAATCAATGTTTATTTTTATTCGAAATTTGAGTCATACTTACTGTTGAATATGTACGGAATTTCAGCTCTGGTGCATTATTATTCATTTTGTCATCGAACACTTTATTTATCAGACCAAGAGCAGGACCTTTAAAATGAAAATTTATGAGGAAACTATTCTGAACTATAAACTTTGCGGGAGAACCAGGGAAATGACTTTTTTTAAAGTATTTATGAATCAAACAAAAAGAAATTGCATCAATATGAGGTATGCTTAATATAAAAGAATTGTTTTTGCCTCAACTTTAATTTTTTACATAACTAATCAACAATATAGTTTCGAGTAAGCTTGTACGGTTTTTATTTCAAATAGAGCAGTGCCAAATTTTAAGGCAGAACATTATTATCCACGCCTTCGAATAAATCTACAATAAAATAGTTCAGACAAACTTTTTTTCTTCTTACCCTGATTTTAACCAACCTAAAAAATGTCCCTTACCTGTTTCTTCCACTCAGCTCTTTATATATGACATATTCATTTTCTACTTTGAGTAGAATGAACAATTCCACTTGAAAAAGTCGAATTATCCACTTAAAGAAGATCGAATTCCAAATACATCTTCACATTATAAATTCCAATTTTAATAAAATAAATGTAAGCACTAAGACCAGCAAAAAAAATTTAAACTCAAATGGAAATTCAAATGTATGATAGCGAAGGAGGATAATGCAAAAATAAAGAATAATTTATAAAATAGAAGCATTTTATTTCATTTTATAATCGTCGTTGAACGGCCGACTGAATTTTTGAAATTACGACTACTGATGTTCATCGCCGTATCCTTGTAATTTTGAGCCCAATACAGAAGGCAAGGGAACTCCTGGATCAAGAATAGAAAGAAATTTGCCCTTATGGAAGATTTTTTGATGGAACTAACCCGCATTCACAATACATGGAGAGGAAAATTACGAAAACGGTTAGCCCGACGGCAAGGGAACTCTAAACCATGATCCATCTACCACTGACGATATTTCACGTCAGCATTGTGGTCAAAGCATGCCGAATGCGGATGTTCTTTGTTCTATTAAATACTGAATAACTTTTTAGTATATATTATATATATATATATATATATGTATATATATATTTTTTGAGATG